TTCCAGTCGCCGTTCCAGTAGTAGAAGCTATGAGCTAGGAGTGCTTCAAATCCGTGCGTCAACAGAAAGCTTCTAGCGGGCGGGACGTGCTCCTCGATTCGTTGAAGTGTGTTTTGCCAGCGCGTGTCCTCGCCGCGCGTCGCGGCCAGGGCGTGCACGTTGTAGGCGAGAATGCTTGCCGACAGGCAGGCGAATGTCGTCAGGGCCGCACGCCGGTGCGTGCGGGCCGCGTGAGCTGTGACCAGGGCCGCCGCGATCGTCAGCCAGGGCATGACGTTGATCTGCATCTGCGGGTCCTGCGGCTGCGAATAGACGTTCATCACCTCGCCGGCAACGAAAGTTCCTCCAAAAACGGCGACGAGAATACGCGTATGGGGGAAGAATCGATTGTGCCAGAAGAGCGTCAGCGCAGTAGTGGCAAGAGCGAAGATTAACGCTGTCGCGAAAAGCATCTCATACAAATACAGAGGCAGTAAGCTAATGGAGTGGATATTGTGGCCACCCAAAAGCGTCTCGCTGATGCCAACCCACAGGAACCACCACTTGGCGGCGGTGAATCCGGCCCAGCCGGTTTCGACGCCTTTCGCCGTCCAGACGAGATCGACGAGGCGGTAGGGATTTCCGGGTTGGCTCCCCCACAGGAATTGCAAAACGGCGGCGACCGCCACGGAGGTCAGAAGGAAGGTTGCGATCCAGCCCAATCTGGTGAGCGGCCGGCCGGGTGCGATTGCGAGGGCCAGCAGCATGGCCGGCAAAGTGGGGAACATCAGCCGCCACTCGAACAGCCAGGCGAGGGTGAAGATTGCCGAAACTATCGCGACGCGCCGGACGGTCGGCCGGACGAACCACAGGACCGCCAGGACCATCGCCGCGAACATCAGCGCGTAGGAGGCATGATGTCTTCGTTGCTGATCGCGAGATTGAGGAAGAACGCCCCGGCCAGATGGAACAGGGTGGCGAGCCACGCGATCGTGCGGTCGCCGGTCAGCCGGCGCGCGAACAGGTACATCACCGACAGGCAGGCCGCCGCGCTGGCGGCATGAATGACAGTCATCTGGCGGCGGGGATCGCCTGAAAAGACACCCAGCACGTCGAGAAGCGCGCAGAGGCGTCCGACCACGGGGAAATAGAGATAGTTCGAGGGATCGAGCGAAGCCGTAGCCGGCGCCTGTACCCAGGGCTTGATCTGCACCGC